CCCAGCAGCCTCCACTCTGCAAGCTCATACTGGGCCCTGCGCGCCATTATCCCAGACAGGCCCACAGACGAGGGCTGGTCTCCTTCACATTTGCATGGGGGTGGGGGCACCCTTCCCCTTCCTCCTCTCCCTGTCCCCCTTTGGGGACATCCCTCTCTAGGCCTAGGCCATGTCTCCTGGTTCAGGAACACTCTCTCAGGAGGATCTCGAAGTGCCCACTCTAGTCAGCTCCAGTGGCTCCACTCTGGGGCGAGATGGCTGGTAGGTCAGTCCCCATCCTCCGCCCCCGGCCCCCAGCCTCCAGTCCTGCTGTGGAGGTGAGATCGCCATGGGTCATGACTTTGTGACTTGAGTCCTGGGCATCTTCTGTAATGATGCCTCTTTCTTTTCTCAGATGTTGCCCACAGTTTAGCAAAAAGCTTTGTTCATTTTCAGGTACCCCCCACCCCCTAAAGAATTGGCTGCAACTCGCCAGCCAGGGGGACATCAGGAAAGAAGAGGAAGTCTGCATTGGGAGGGGCCCAAGGTTTGCAACAGAGTCTCCATTGTTCAGCTCTGTGCTTTCTTGGATTCTCTTTCCAAGATTACCAAGATTTCCTCCATTAAAACTCCTGAGGCACCCCCTGCCCCTGCCCCTGCCCCCACTGCTGTTTGCTGTACATAGAGGCTAAGTGGGGTGGGGTGGGTGGGTGTGCACATGTGGTGTGTGTGTGTGAAGAATGTATATAGGTAAAGGGGAGCGTGGTCCAGTGGTTCCAGAAAAGGGACAGAACTCCTGTGTTCTAGCCCTAGCTTGACCGCTGGCTCGCTGTGTGGCCTTGGGCAAGTCACTTAACCTCTCTGTGCCTCAGTTTCCCCATCTGTAAAATGGGGATAATAATACTGACCTACCTCACAGGGGTGTTGTGAGGCTTTAACTAAATGTTTTGTAAAGCATTTTGAGATACAGAGGCAAAGGCACAAGGGAAGGGCAAAGAATTATTGGACTCAAGGAAGCTGAAATGGTACCATAAATGCTGCTATTCTGAGAGCCATTTTAAACTGCACTGCTCCACCCACCCCCGCTTCTCATCACCAGGACAGCAGGTCGAGAAAATGTCTTTCCTTTCACTTGCTTCTGGGGTTTGTGATTATTCAAGACAATTTTTTCCCCTTGCTGTATCTCCTTCCCTCACCTCCTCAACTTGTTCCCTGTTCTGTTTATGCGGAAATGGCAGAAATGCTTGAGAAATGAGAATGTGTAAGTGGATTGGAAGTTTATAGTATGAAATTTCAATTTTACTTTGTACTGTACATCTTTTTACTTTAGAATTTGCAATAAAGGGTTACGTCAATCTTGTTTTCAACTCTCCTCTTGGACTGGCCTGTCATTCTGTCATTGCCCCTCACACAAGTCCAGGGTGAACAGGCACCACCACCTCGCAGGACGCCACTCTGTCCTATGGCGGGGACAGAGTCTGCCTGAGGGCTCACCCTGGCTCAGCCTCTTGGCTGGGCAGGCAGTGCCCTAGCCACTCCCAGGTGGGTGGGAAAGGTTCAGGACTCCACTCAGCCTGTCAGGAGGCCTTGCCTGAGGAGGGCAGCACCATGCAGGCGGTGCCCTGCACGTGGGTACACCCCTTTCTAGTGGTGCTGCCTCTGCACAGTCCAGCAGGGCCCCAGAGTAGCCCCGACGGGGCGCTGCACATCTTGTTCTGGTCCCCATCATGTTTTTCAAGCCCCCTTATCGCGCACACACTTTTCCTTCTGAGCTCAAACTTTCAGGTCAGGTGGCCATAGGTTCGAGAACATGACTATGCCACTAATTAGCTGTGGCAGAGTTTACGCATATGTGATGGAGATAATACCTTCCTTCTTGGGTTTTGAAGAGTACATCAAATAATGTATGTAACTGCTTAGCATGAGGCCTGGCACGCCGTGCTCAGTAAGTGGTAGCTCTTCGTAGAAGAATAATTGTAAGATCAGAAGGAATCTGCCCGGCGCGGTGGCCCACGCCTGGAATCCCAGCACTCTGGGAGGCCCAGGCAGGCGGATCGCTTGAGCCCTGGAGTTGGAGACCAGCTTGGCCAACAAGGCGAAACCCCATCTCTACTAAAAACACAAAAATTAGGGGGTTGTGGTGGCGCGTGCCTGTAGGCCCAGCTACTAGGGAGGCTGAGGCAGGAGAATCGCTTGAATCCTTGAACCTGGGAGGCAGAAGTTGCAGTGAGCAGAGATCGCACCATTGCCCTCCAGCCTGGGCAACAGAGCGAGAGTCCGTCTCAAAAAAAATAATAAATAAATAAAAAGGAACTAAGCTGACAAAAATTGGGCTGTGTGCCTGCCACTCTGTGAGACTGGCACCGGAGCCCCTCTTCCACCGGTCCCACGGGCGATGCTGCTCCTTTCCAACGGATTAAAAAACTGCTCTGTTCTTTCAGTATTTCATAACGTTTATAAACCGTCCAAAGCACCACTCCTGCCGGACTTTGCTTCCATTTTACAGCCGAGGGCAAGGGCACTGAGGTGAGCGAGGATCTGGCCCATCTGCAGCCAGGCCCCCAGGGGCGCGCGCCGCTATTTAGGAAGGAGAGGCTTTGTTTCCCACCAGCCCTGAACCGTGGCGGGCGGGCCGGGGCTGGCGGGCCACGCCTGGTCGCCGTCGCCGCCGGTGATCCACAGCGTGAGCAGGACGAGCAGCGCCCCGGTGCTCAGCGCCCCCAGGAAGCCGGTGAGGAGGCCAAGCGCCAGCGGCCCCGCCCAACCCGTGGGGCTCCGGTCGTACCGGGGCTGAGGCAGGCGCTCCACGATCAGCTCCAGCGCGTCCCAGTCCAGCGCTGGGACCGCGGCGCGCCGGGGGCGCGAGGCCAAAGGATCGGGCGGCGGGGCGGCGGCGCCGGGCGGAGGCAGGAAGCGCTGCCCGAATTTGCGCAGCTGCAGCGTCGCCTGCTGGTGGAGGTTCTTGCCCAGCTCCCTGGCCACGTCGGGGCGGCCGCTGCGCCGCAGGGCCCGAGCCAGGCGGTCCCAGGACAGGGACGCGGCCCGGGGGGCCAGCCAGGCCGCCAGCGCCTCCCGGCAGCCGTCGGAAACCTCCCCGGGCCCTGCCGCCCCGCCCGCCCGGTCTTCGGCCGCCTCTCGCCGCCGCCGCCGGCTCGGAGACCCCGACGTGGTGTTGAGCGGCTCGGGCCGCGCCAGCCGGTCCTCAGAAAGCCGGGACAGCTCGGCCTCCACGTCGGGCTCGGGCGCCTCCAGGAGCGACCGGAAATGGCCGCACTCCTCCGGGGTCAGCAGCTCGGCCAGACGGACCGCTGCGTGAGGGCCCATGGCGTCCGGGGCCCCCGCCGGAGCCAGCGCCCAAACCCAGAGCGCCAGGACCAAGGCGCCCGCCGGAGTCCGCGCCGCCATCCCTGGTGGGAACCAGGGACCGAGAACTGTCCGGGGACAGGAACGGGCTCCGAGCGCCCGCGGTGGGGGAGGGGTTCCGAACTCCCGCGGATTGTGGGAGGGAGAAGGCTCCGAACACTCGGGAAGCCAAGTGGAGGAGGGAACTGGGGACGAGAGGGCTGGCAACACCCAGCAATGGAGACGCGGGGCTCCAATATAGCACTTGTTGGAGGGTCTCACGAAACTCAGGAACTGGAGTTAGAGGGATTGCAACACCCCGGAAGGGGGTTCTCGGCCCTCCAGGAGGCTAGGAGTCTAAGCCTTTACACTGGAGCTCCCGCCCTACGCCTCCTAATACCCACTAATACCTCAAACTGAACAAATTACCAACATTCTTCTAATTCATGTACTGCCCAACTCCTCCCCTCTTTACCAGAAGCCCTAGACCCCTTGCTCTCCATTAACCTCGATATTCAATCAATTCCTACATCCTTTTTTTTTCTTTTTTGTGCAGATGGAGGTCTTGCTATGTTGCCCAGGCTGGTTTCCAACTCTGGTCGCCTCCTCCGCCATCACCTCCCAAAGTGCTAGGATTAGAGGCATGAGCCACTGGCCTGGCCTCAATTTCTAAATTCTCCTCTTGTCTACCAACTACTAAAGTTTAGTATTCATCAAATGAATCCATCATCCCATTCCCCCACTCTGGTGTGAGTCCAAACCCTCCTCTCTTGTCTGGTCTTCCAGCCCCTACCCCTGTCCCCACCCACTGGGGCCCTGCCTACCTGCACTTATTCCATTTCCCCCAAGGAAGCTTGACTCTGATTCTCCTTCTGATCGTGGTCTGCACTCCTCCTGCTGTCGGGCGCCTTTGGGAAGCCCTCCCTGACTCTGTGTCCCACCCCTTAGTGGTATCCCCATTAGGGGTTCTTCCTATCTGCCCCACAGCACACCGCAGCTCAGCCTTTTTACTGTCTTCCCCCACTAGACTGCAAGGTCCATACACTGCCCCCATGGCATCTAGAGCATAAGTGTTCAGTAAAGATTTGTTGAGTCAATGTGTGAATTTCTGTTTA